TTCCCACCCTGAGACACGGGCTGGGGGGGTCTGTCCATTCCCAGAGCACCTCCCCCTGTAATTCCCAGCTCAGGGATACAGGGGATATGTGTCCGTTCCCTGATCCCCCCCCTGTAATTCCCAGCCCCGAAACACGGGTGCTGTCCGCCCCTTCCCTGAGCCCCCCTGGCAATTCCCAGCCCTGGGATGCTGGGAGGGAGGTCTGCCCGTTCCCTGAGACACCCCCCACCCCACCCCATAATTCCCACCCTGAGACACGGACTAGGGGGTCTGTCCATTCCCTGAGCCTCCCTGGTAATTCCCAGCCCTGAGATACAGGGGATATTCCTTGAGACACCCGTAATACCCAAGACATGGACGGGGGGGGGGGTCTGTCCATTCCCAGAGCCCCCTCGGTAACGCCCAGCCCTGAGATACAGGGGATATGTGCCCATTCCCTGAGCCCCCCCCCCAGTAATTCCCAGCCCGGAGACAATGGGAGGGGGGGTGTGCCCATTCCTAGAGCCCCCCGGTAATTCCCAGCCCTGAAACACGGGAGGTGAATGACCATTCCCTGAGCCCCCCCGGTATTTCCTAGCCTCCGGATACAGAGGAGGTTGTATCTGTCCCCTGAATCCTCCCCCAGTAATTCCCAGCCCCAAGACACGGGAGGCTGTACCCGTTCCCAGAGCCCCCCCCCCGCTAATTCCCACTGACACCAGTCGGGAGCAGCACCCTCGGGATCATCCCCAGGCCTTTCCACAGCCGTCAGCACTCGCAGAGGACCGAGTTAAGAACCGGAGAGCCAAAGGGCTTCTCCAGGCTCGGGCAGGGAACAAACAGCCCCTGTGGTACCCCCGTGACACAGCGTGAATCCTCCCAGATCCACGTGGCCTGGCCTCTCGTTTCCTGCTCTGACTGTTCTACAACAGCACCTATTCAGAAGCAAGAGAAAGGAACCATCAAGATGAATCTGCAAAGCAAACCAGGGCCGGGCACGAGTGACAAAGGAGTGACATCCCTGCAGCTGGAGAGCTGTGACACTGTCTGCCTGCAACTACCACCATCAAACCCTGCTGGAAAACTTATTAAAAGCCTGAGGCTACAAAAGAGAGCAATCCCTTAAGAAAAATGCCATTCATTCAAGTTTATCTTACTCTAAATTAAAGTCAACAAAGAAATATTTCCTCCAAAAGCCCCCAAAACAACGAGCAATGTGAGTGCACATCAGAGAACCAGCACAGGGCGGATTTTGAACTTGCTGCTGGAACCTGGCTGAACAGAGCAGTGAGAAGGTCACGGATCTAAGGAACATCAGAAGCTCAGAGCCAGCACAGAGCCTCTTCCTGGGTTTTGTTCCAGTGAGGGCACACGGGAAGGAGCCAAGGCAGTGACCCCGCTCCTGGGATGGCTCTGCAGAGCAGTGCTCTGCCATCCAAGCTGTTCGGGGCTTTAACCCCTCACTCAGCTGGGATGAGAAGGGCCAACTTCACATCCTCAGTTTTCTTCCACTTCCCTGTCTTCCCTTAGGAAGGGGAGTGTCTCGTGGCACTGGAAGCTGATTTCCCAGGTGAGAAGGGAACAGCGGAGCCCTGGGAAGGTGTGAGCACCAGGAATGCACACCCTGCACGGCAGAGCTGCTCTCCCTGCTCAGCACTCACCCCCCAGGTTACTGATCCACGGGCACTCCCCAGGCACCTCCTGCTCTGGTTCTGTGCTGGGAATTCCCTCCCTTCCCTGCAGCAGCTCCAGGACTGCTTATCACTGATGGAATTTCCTAATGTATCTGCTACAAACCTGGAATAACACACAGCATTGTCTCGATACAAACTGAAAGGCTGCACCACCATGGATGGCCCATGCTCAGCTCTGTCAGCAGCACAGCAAAGACCCGACTGCACAGCCTGAACCTGTGCCACACCTGGTGTTATAAAAATGAACCCCTCAAACTGAGACCAACCCTCCACTTGCACTCGTCGCTTCCTCGGAACTGCACACACACAGAAATCCAGCTCCACGTGTTTAATCCTGAAGTGGCTATTTAATTTTTTGCCCATAAAAGCCAACATTTGCCACCATGTACCTTGTTATTCTGAGGTTTGCTGTACATACAGGACATCCTGTTACTATTATGTAGTAGTTCATGTGGATGTAAAGTGCAACTTACCACCAAACAGAGAAATGTGAGAAGTTTACCAAACTCTCACCCATGAGCCTTTGAAAATTAACACTTGAAACAGAAGCTCTGGCTCAAGTCCTGAATTTTAGGACTAGATTGCAAACTACCACCCCTTGGAAAAAAGTTATATCCCTGATATATAACCAGATGATATTATTATATTCCTGATAACCAGATTAATGTCAGGTAACGTGAGTGATTTCCTCCCGCATAATGTGAGGGCAATTCCTCCCAGAAACTCGGGATGAGCCACATCCTGACAAAAAAGATGTGTCCACCTGCAAACAGTTATAAGACAAGAGTTCAGATGGCTGTAATCAAGTTTTCCTATAAGGGAGGGCTAGAAGAGTGCCTAGGAAAAGTGAATGCATGTTGTGTTTCCTCTGACATGGGTGAAAACAAAATGCCTCCCTGGTGGACTGTAACTGCACTTAGCTACTGCACACCAAAAATACCACTGAACTTCTTTTGTCTTTAAAAACACACCAGAATAATTTCGAGCAGCCATTACTATATTTAAAGTAGTCATTATATTTATAATGACTAACTGCAATTTATAGAAAGACTTCACAGCCAAAACCCCCTTGCTGACCTGAGAGGCTTCCCAGCCCCAGCTGAAGGGCCATCTTCAAACACAGAGCTGAGAACAGCCCGTCCCTGCCCCAGAGGATGTGGCCACTCACCCCCTCCCAAGCTGAACAGTCAGGACTATGTGCCCATGGAAGGGTTTTTGGGTGAGTGGAGGAGATGGGACACCTCTCACCAACAGGGATTCTTTCCACGAGCTGAGCTGTTCCAGGGCTTGGAAGTTCACACAGAAGCTCCTGCTGGTCTGGGCTGATGGTTTCACCCCGCTGGGCTATCAGAGGTCTGGTGCTCCTGGCTGTGGTCAGTGCTGGGAACACACCTGGGTTTGTGCTGCTTCCCAAGGGAGAACTGGCACTTCCCACCCTCCCTCTGCTGTGGTTTGTCCTGAGCTGGAGCCCCCACTGCCTCATGCTGCCCTGAGGGCTCTGGGGTGGGGCAGAGCAGATGCAGGAGGGTGGGATGTGCTGTGACCTCCTCTCCCCACGGCAGAGCTCGAGGAACCTGAGGACACACAGGATATATGATGGACACGGAATCTTTTCAGGCTCAAGATCACAAGGTGCTTAATCTTCACCCTCTGTACACACAGGCTTAATTTGGTCCTCTCTGTACAAATCAAACCCCCATTAAAAACAAGACTGGAAATGTCCCTACAGTACCTGGAGGAGATTAGTACTGCTTAACTGAAGAGTAACCACCACATCTTTCATAGACACATTTTATTTACCACACAAAACAGACACTTTGCTGTTTAGGTTTTGGCTTATACAGTGCATTAAATTGAGAAATCAGTCCTAAAAAGGTCTCTTTTTGAGAAACCAGACCCATGACTCGCTGTTCCATGGTTTGCTGATGGAGAACAGGGCACTGATGTTTGCACAAGCTCTCTTTTGGGCAGTCTGAGCCTGCCTTGAGGGGAATTTTGTCATCAATGCACTTGTAAGATCAGGCACTGTGTACTTCATCACTGGGTAAAGAAAACATGGTGATTTCAGACCAATTTCCAAATCCTGAGTGGGTAATTTAAACTACTGTGGGTTATTACTCTCCATGAAAGCTGCAGAAATATTTAGCTAAAATATTTCTTTTCAGATTTCTAACAAGCAATATGAAGTTTATGGCTGCCACATGCTGATGAGCTGCTATGTGAAAGATTCTCCACCAACTGAACTGATCCTGCTTAGGGACTCAGTGGAATAATTACCCTGGCAAGGAGTGAGAGAGGGGAACACAGCTCTGTCAAATCCTTGCACCCAGGGAACACGAGCACAGGCCAAATAACGACCACCAACTCAGCCCAGTGGGGCAGCACAAAGCAGAAACAGTATTTCCACTCCCAAAGCCCTGCTAGAGCCAGGCACCAGGAAGAAATCCTTCCCACACACACAAGTAAACACAACTGCTCCTCGCAAAGCCCCATTTATGTATTTCAGTGTCAGAACAACAAATATTTCCCTTCCCCTGCTCTCTCAGATGGAAGGTGTTGGCTCTGCCACGTCCCCCTCCTGCAGCAGCCGGGGCAGCCAAGTTCCTCCCGGCCCTGCCGGAGAATAAACAGGATCCAGCAGGAGCAAACAGTCCTTCCCTCCTCCATCCAAACGCAATTCGTGCCCTCAAGCACCGCACTTTCCTCTGCAAGGTAGAGAATTACGTCCTCCAGAAGCTTTTGCATGTTTAAACAGACCGCTAATGGTGGCTGAACGATTTTACTTCTAAATAGGCTAATTAGTCCCTCTACTTACTGAAGCTGACGGGATCGTCTTCTTCTAACATTTACTTAAAAAGATACGATTTCTGTAACAAACAATTCACATCTTTTGTTGGTTTTTTTGCTGTTTGCACAGTGGCAATGAGCAAGCAGGTAACTTCCCCCAAGTGATGGCAGTGTTACATCCTCTAGAACCAACAGCTGAAGTTATGGGGTATTTTTCACACACAAAAATTTGACAGAAATCAAAAGCTTTTTAAAAAAGACTTGATAAAATTAACATTCCTGATTCCCCAGTTACAGAGCAAGTCCTGCCAGCCCCATGGAGGTTTAGGGGAATAAACATCTATTTCTATTGCACAGTCACAAAACTTGACTTCTGCCTTCTCTTTTTTCACTCTTGAATCATCTGTATGAACCAACGAAGAGAGACCTCACCGTTTTTCAAGCCCACCATTTCTTTCTTAAGACACAGTATAACGGAGAGCAAAAGGATTTTTTTTAGTGGAGGGCATTTAATAAATTAGTGGACAAGCTGCTTACACTGATGACACACTTTCCCAGGCAAGTGCAACTATGTTTCTGAACAGGCGGATTGGGTTGTTCCTCAGCACAGTTTACACACACCAGGAGGTGAAGGCGGATTTGGCCACAGATGATGCAACTCAAGTAGAATTTGCTTCTTTCTCCACGTCATCATCGTCGTCAACAACCTGAAATCAAATCCAAAAGTGGTTTGGGTAAACAGTTTAAACTCTCAGCCCTGCAGTTTTTATTACATCAAAGCCCTGCTGGGCCCGAGCAGAACAGCAGTTATCCCACAGTCTGAACGACAACGGGCACGTGAAGGAGGTGAGAAAAACCTGCAACCCAAAATGCCACAGGAAACGTGGCTGAAATAATGGGAGCTGGTCAAGTTACCACAAAACCCATGAAAACAATCACTACAGGTATCAGATATTTCATGAGAAAGCAAAAGAATCTACATTTCATGGGACAGAAGCTCGTTGCTTTTTATCACGTAAAGTCAGCAAAGCACATGAGTAACTGAAAACAGTGCCCAGGTCTGGGCTCCTCAGCAGAAGAGGGACATGGGCATATTGGAGAGAGTCCAGCAAGGGCTCACCTCCCTCAGGCTGCTGCCAGCACCATCAGCAGCTCTGCCATGAGGCACAGGCTGCTCAGGGGCAGCCTGGCACCCTCCAGCACCAGGGCCTTGGCTGCCACGCTGCTCCCCAGCCAGGCAGCCCAGCATGGGGGCTTGGGCAGGATTCTGCAGTGTTCCATATCTTTTGCCAACATACAGCTCCTGACTTGGAAACCCTGACTTGGAAACCCAGATCTCTCCACCCCGTTCTTTCCCTGAACTGCCACCCTGTGCAGGCTGGAAAGGGACAAAGCCCTCCTTTTGCACTGAAAAGAAACCAGCTCTGACCCCTGCCCAACCCACCTGTTCCACGCCTTCCACCTCGGGGATGTAGAACTGCAGCATGTTCTGGATCCCGTTCTTCAGGGTGATGATGGAGCTGGGGCAGCTGGTGCACGAGCCCTGCAGCTTCAGCTGCACAATGCCATCCTCAAAGCCTTTATAAATCACATCCCCACCGTCCTCCTGCACCGTCGGCCTGATGGGAGACGAGACTCAAGTACACCTGAAATATGGATCCTTCCAGAAACCTTCAGGAAAGCCAAATTTAACGCACACAAAATATACAGACTGCAGCCCTCCTTCTCTACAACCACCTGGTTCAAATTTCAAACACCACCTACTTTGCTGGACTCTCTCATGTTGACAGAAACTACTTTTCCATGGGACATTGAGCAAAATACTTTTGCAACAAAAGCAGCAGTGTATGAAGGAATCACTGACATTTTAGGGGAGAGGGTAAACAAACACCTTGGAGCAGAGCTGGATCCAGCCTGCACAGACACACGGGGCTGCCTGAAGGCCCTCCCCACATGCAGGAACTGCCTCAGTCATTGCCAGCACTGCTGGGGTGTGTCCTACCATGGGGTGCCTGTGCAGCTGGCACCTGTGATAAGGAGTCCTGAAGTCCTTCCATAAATAAATATGCAGTTCTCCACAATTTACTGAGGACAGAAAACAGCTGCAACTATAAAAGCTTAATCCTGCTCAGGGGTGAAGGAGCCAGCCCTGATAAGCTCCCCCCAGTGCCATTAGCATTTCTGCAGCCTGCTCTCCCTCTGCCAGCCACAAATGCCCAGCATTGTAGCTGGGTCCCCATAGCAACATTTTTCCAGACCAAGCTAAAACCATCAAGTTACTCTAACAGAAGCTCTTTATACTGATTTCCAAAATAACTCTTTGAGAACTACAGTCCTAAGAGAAAAATCCGTCAACCTGACACATTTATTAACTCACCACAGCAAATTATCTCCGTTCCAGAAAGCCGAAGACCACGATTAAAAATTCCATTTTTCTTATTTGAATTAAATTTAAGACACTACAGGACCTTCCAGATCGACATTCCCTCCATCCTGCACCTTCTGACAACTTCTATGCATGTATTTTTGATTGACTGAATTTGATTGACTCTGTGTGTACCCTGGTTTATATATAACCTCTGTCAACTACCCTGCTATGAAATGAAGGAAGATACTTCGCTGCCGATATTCTCATCAACAGTTTCTTGGTCCACCAAGGGGTACAGGGGGAAGGAAATGAAAGAAAGAAAAAGGTAGGAAAACCAGAAATTTGGGCAGGAATTCTGTGCCTGTTGCAAAAGGGCACCGGGAAATCAGGGAGTGACATATCACAGGGTTCCCAGCACGGGCAGGGCCTCCTGGATGTCACTGTCACAGCTTTACACAACCTTATTCTGGTTTCAACACTTGGGACATATGTTTGGGAAAAATGTTCCAGCTTTCTTCTATTTTTCTTCCTCTTTCAGGAAAACTAACCAGTACCATGTGTCAGCTCTGAGATAACTGAATTTTTAAGTAAAGTGATATCACTTTAAATGCAGCATCTAAGAAAAAACCAAAAAGGCCCAAGTTCATCATAATTTCCATGATTTTGACCCACAAACAAGTTTCTGGTTCCTGCAGTCTGTGAGCTGGGGAAGATGTCACCATCAGATACCACAGCTCCACAAACACATCAGATATCTCCTCCTCTATGTAAAATGTCAAGTTGCTTATCCCTTTCAGTTCCTTTGGTAGGCAATTAATGAGCACAAAAATAGCCTTCAGGTAAACAACAGGATCCACAGCCACTCTTGAGACTTCATTAGTTACCACCAGTTTGTAAATTCAAGCTGTGTTAAAGCACCAATAAAATCACAACAGAATGCAGGGACAAAATCCACTGAAGCCCAGACAGAGAGAGAAACCACTAGTAAATACTCCTTCAGAGTATGATAGGAGGGTAAAAACTACTTTGGGATACTTGGAAGGGAAGGGTGAGAAAAAAGTAAGAACTGATTAAAACAGAGAGAAAAGAAGTGCCTCTAAAAGCAAATACTGTGTAGTTTTCATCATTTCAACAGCATCCTCAGCTGGGCCAGCTCTGCCCTTTAACCCCCCCAGGAGCTGAGCCAGGAAATCACACACCCCAAGGAAAAACCCACTGCCCCCTAAATAAATCCAACCCCAACACTGACTCACTCATCCAGCAAGGTTCCCTGTTCACCTTATCCTTGTATCCAGCAGCTCCTTAATCATCAGCACAACTTCATCATCTTCTTCGGAAGCAGCTTGGGGAGAGAAAGATGGGCAAGTCAGGACCTGGAGAGAATTCCAGCAGGATTGCTAACCCAGGATATCCATGGATTCCAGCAGGATTGCTAACCCTGGATATCCATGGATTCCAGAAGGATGCTAACCCAGGATATCCATGGATTCCAGCAGGATTGCTAACCCTGGATATCCATGGATTCCAGAAGGATGCTAACCCAGGATATCCATGGATTCCAGGAGGATGCTAACCCAGGATATCCATGGATTCCAGAAGGATTGCTAACCCTGGATATCCACAGATTCCAGGAGGATGCTAACCCAGGATATCCATGGATTCCAGGAGGATTGCTAACCCTGGATATCCATGGATTCCAGAAGGATTGCTAACCCTGGATATCCATGGATTCCAGAAGGATGCTAACCCTGGATATCCACAGATTCCAGGAGGATGCTAACCCTGGATATCCATGGATTCCAGGAGGATGCTAACCCAGGATATCCATGGA